GGAATGGGACTGGGAAAGGGAAGGGGAACGGGAATGGGACTGGGATTTGGTTTGGGAACGGGAATGGGACTGGGATTGGGACTGGGAATGGGAATCGGGGGTTATGCTGTTCCCATGGGGAATGGGATCAGGATTGGGGGATTGCACTGCTCCAGTAGGGACTGAGATTGGGATCGGGGTCAGGGGTTTGTGCTGTTCCCACAGGGATGCAGGGGAGGGAAAAGGGTGGGATTGGAATGGGAGGGGTGGGGGACAGGGACAGGAATGGGGACAAGGACAGGGAAAGATGGAGTTGAGGACAGGGAATGGGGCAGGGAGAGACGGATTTGGGGACAGGCACAGGGTGGAGCGGGGTCCCGCCACCCCCGTGCCGTGTCCCCGTGTCCCCAGGTGTGTCCAGGGTGGCACCACGGCCATCCCGGGCGCGTTCGGCTGCGGGAAGACGGTGATTTCGCAATCGCTGTCCAAGTACTCCAACAGTGACGTCATCGTCTACGTGGGCTGCGGCGAGCGCGGCAACGAAATGTCCGAAGTGCTGCGGGACTTCCCCGAGGTGACAGCGACACGGGGACACGGGGACATCGATGGGGACACGGGGACAGCGGGGTGACAGCGACACGAGGGTTCATGGAGGGTATTCAGGGATTGCCCCGAGGTGACAGCGACACACGGGACACACACGGGACAGGGGGACATCGGGGACACGGCGGTGACAGTGACACGGGTGTACATGGAAGGTCCTGAGTGACTTCCCCGAGGTGACACAGGGGTGGCAGTGGGTGACAGGCAGTGACGGTGACACGGGTGTGTCCCCAGCTCGGCAATGGAGGCTTCTGAGGTGGGGACAGGGGGTGACACAGGGAGGTGACACATGGTGACAGTGTGACACCAGGGAGGTGGCACGTGTGACAATGCGACACTGCTGTCCCCAGCTCACCATGGAGGTCGGTGGCCGCTCCGAGTCCATCATGAAGCGCACGACGCTCGTGGCCAACACTTCCAACATGCCGGTGGCCGCCCGCGAGGCCTCCATCTACACCGGTGGGGACACGGGGGGACACGGGGGAACACGGGGGGACAGGGACACAAGGGGCAGGGACACTGTGGGGGGACATGGAAGGGACGTGTGCAAGAGGGGGACACGTGCGTGTGACAGGGACACAGGTGCGTGACAGGGACATGGGAGGACAGGGGGTCCCACTGTCCGTGGGTGTGTGCCAGGTGTGTCCCACCCGTGTCCCACCCGTGTCCCACCTGTCCCCCAGGTATCACTCTGTCCGAGTATTTCCGGGACATGGGTTTGCACAGTTGTCTCCTGGCCGACTCCACGTCCCGCTGGGCCGAGGCTCTGCGCGAGATCTCGGGGCGCTTGGCCGAGATGCCCGCGGGTGAGACCCCAAAAATCCTGGGAATTGGGGGGTGGGACCCCAAAATTCTGGGATTTGAGGGGTGGGACCCCAAATCCCGAGAATCCAGGGATTAATGGGGTCTGGGAATGCTTGGGGACCCTAAAATCCCGGGATTTGGGGGGAAAATGGGATCTGAGCCACGGTGAGGAGCTGCCAAACCCCAAATCCCGCGGTTTGGGGGACCCCGCGCCCCCTCCCTGTGCCCGTGTGTCCCCCAGGGGGGCCGCGGGGTCCCGGGGGTGACAGGGAGGTGACAGGGAGGTGACAGGGAGGTGACAGGGAGGTGACAGTGGGTCCTGGGGAGGTGGCAGAGGTGTCCCCAGGGGTGACAGGGAGGTGACAGGGAGGTGACAGCCGTGTCCCCGCAGACAGCGGGTACCCCGCGTACCTCGGGGCCCGCCTGGCCTCGTTCTACGAGCGCGCGGGGCGGGCGCGGTGCTTGGGGACCCCCGAGCGCGAGGGCAGCGTCAGCATCGTCGGAGCGTGAGTGTCCCCGTGTCCCCAGGGGGGGGTGACAAGGGCGGGGGGCACCCCCCTGTGCACCCCAAACCCCCCCCCGTCCTCCCCCCGCAGGGTGTCCCCCCCAGGAGGGGATTTCTCGGATCCCGTGACCTCGGCCACGCTGGGCATCGTGCAGGTGAGGGGACAGGGGGGACACAGGGGGACACAGGGGACAGGGGGGACAGAGGACAGGGACAGCGTGGGGAGCCGTGAGTGGAGCAGGGACACGCTGAGAGAGGGGACATGGCGGGGACAGGGTTGGGGAGACACGGAGGGGACAGAGACACACTGGGAGGGGACAGAGACACACTGGGAGGGGACACGGGGACACTCGGAGTGGGACACGCTGGTAATGACCCCTGGATGAGGACACGGGGGTGACATTCCCGGTGTCACACGTGGGGGGAATGGACAAGAAACTCGGGGACAGGCTGGGTGACACGGGGGTGACACGGGGTGACATTGCCGGGTGTTCCAGGGGGATAAGGAGCTCGGGGACAGTCTGGGTGACACGGGAGTGACCCGAGGTGACACTGGGTGACACTGGGTGACACTCCAAGTGTTCTGGGGGCTGGACAAGAAGCCGGCACAGCGCAAACACTTCCCGTCGGTGACACGGGGGTGACACGGGGTGACATTGCCGGGTGTTCCAGGGGGATAAGGAGCTCGGGGACAGTCTGGGTGACACTGGGTGACACTGGGTGACACTCCAGGTGTTCTGGGGGCTGGATAAGAAGCTGGCGCAGCGCAAACACTTCCCCTCGGTGAATTGGCTGATCTCGTACTCGCGGTACCTGCGGGCGCTGGAGCCGCACTACGAGCGCGCCCACCCCGAGCTGCCCGCGCTGAGAGACCGAGCCCGGCGCATCCTGCAGGAGGAGGAGGAGCTGGCCGAGATCGTGCAGCTCGTGGGGAAGGTTTG